TAAACATAATCATAGAGGTTATTAGAGAAAATACAAAAAAGAAGTTTTTGGAAAAGATTAATAAAATTGACAAATCCTTTGCAAAATTGATTAAGAAAAAAAGAGGCCAGGTGTGGTGGCTCACATCTGTAATCCCAGCACTTGGGGAGGCTGAGGTGGGCGGATCACTTCAGGTTAGGAGTTTGAGACCAGTCTGGCCAACATGGCAAAACCCTTTCTTCACTAAAAATACAGTATTAGCCAGGCATGGTGGTGGGCATCTGTAATCCTAGCTACTTGGGAGACTGAGGCAGAAGAATCACTTGAACCTGGGAGGCAGAGGTTGCAGTGAGCCAAGATTACACCACTGCTCTCCAGCCTGAGTGATTAAAAAAAGAAGAAAGAAAAAAGAAAAGAGCTAAAATACAAGTATTCATAACAGATACATAGACATTGCTATAGATCCCACTTATATTGAAAAGAAATATGATGAAGATATTGTAAAAATTTTTGCCAATACATATATATTCAGAGGAAATTGACAAATTCATTGAAAGATATAACTCACTGAAACTGAACAAAAGACAGAAAACATGAATATGTTTAGGTCATGAGGAAATTAAATCTGAAATTAAAATCAGTTCCCAACTGAAAACACCGTTCCAAGATGGCTTCACTGGTGAATGTATCGAACATTAAAGTATAATTTTACACAAATTATTTTAGATAATAGGGAGCATGACAGCACATCACAGCTCATTTTAATGAGGCTTGCAAAACATTGACACCAAAACCTAGCGATTGCATTAAGGAGGGAAAAAAAATACCAGTATCTCTCCTGAACATATGAAAATGTTCTAAACAAACGACTAGTAAGTCCACTCCTATAATATGTACACAAGATAAAATATGACTAAATGGAGTTAGTCCATCAAAGGAGGGTTGATTTAATTTTTTAAAATCAATTTGTATTATTTATAATATCACCATATCATCTCATCAAAAAGTATGTATCTAGCAGCATGACCGTGTGTGTCAAGGCCTCAAATATAGTATCCTGGTACTTCACTACACACTCTAAAGGTGCTAACTTATTTCATTGCCCCCATAATTTTCATGAAATAGGAATCATTATTTTCTCCCAGCTGCAAATAAATGGCTGGAATACAGAGTGGTTAAGCGGCTCCAGATTGTGTAGCAATTAAGTGACAGAGCTGTGAATCCAGTTTAGATAGGCCTGACTGGAGCACTTGTACTCTGAAACACTTCATTATATTGTCTTTCAGGAGTCTACACCTGCTCTGGTGGTCTCTGGACAATAGCAGAAGTTTTCTTAGCAACACTTCAGCACCAGACCTGAGAATACAGTGACTAAACTTGTATGTATAGTGTTTACTGTTTCTACCAATGATTTGACTTCTAACTTACGCAGTGATATGACTTTCTTTTAGCAAGCTTATCAGGACAAATTTCTCCAAATATTTTTTTTTTTCTTTAAAATCTTCCACTGAAGAGAATCTATGCTGACAGGATTTAAATCATTTAACACATATCCAGAAACCACCTTCAGGAATATTTGGATTTTCTCAAGTTGGCAAATAATAATGCCTTGATTGTAAGATTATTTTTGGACATGAGGAATTTGTAAAGCAGCTCTCAAGAATAAGACATAGGAGGCTGGGCATGGTGGCTCATGCCTGTAATCCCAGTACTTTGGGAGGCTGAGGCAGGAGGATCGCTTGAGGTCAGGAGTTCCAGACCAGCTTGGCCAACATGGTGAAATTTTGTCTCTACTAAAAATACAAAAATTACCCAGGCATGGTGGCATGTGCTTGTAATCCCAGCTACTTGGTAAGCTGAGGCATGAGAATCGCTTGAACCTGGGAGATGGATGTTGCAGTGAACTGAGATCGCACCACTGCTCTACAGCCTGGGCAACAGAGTGAGACTTCATCTCAAAAAAAAGAGAAAGCCAGGCGTGGTGGCTCAAGCCTGTAATCCCAGCACTTTGGGAGGCCGAGGCAGGTGGATCACGAGGTCAAGAGATCGAGACCATCCTGGTTAACATGGTGAAACCCTGTCTCTACTAAAAATACAAAAAATTAGCTGGGCATGGTGGCGTGTGCCTGTAATCCCAGCTACTCAGGAGGTTGAGGCAGGAGAATTGCCTGAACCCAGGAGGCGNTCCCAGCTACTCAGGAGGTTGAGGCAGGAGAATTGCCTGAACCCAGGAGGCGGAGGTTGCGGTGAGCCGAGATTGCGCCATTGCACTCCAGCCTGGGTAGCAAGAGTGAAACTCCGTCTCAAAAAAAAAAAAAAAAAAAGAGAAAGAGAAAGAATAGGACATAGGAAGTAGCTATGCAAAGGGGAACTGGGATTGAGCCTATCTTCAGCAACTTATTTTGAGACTCCAGTCACTGTCAGGGGATCTGCTAACAGTGAGCTACGTCAGTAGTGGTAAAAGCAGAGAAAGAACAGGCAGTTGTCACAGCTAGTCATTTCAAGAATTACCGTCCATCCTCTCAGCCCAGCCCCTGAAGACTATATTCAAGGAAGCAGGAATGGAATGCTGGAGAATAGAACCTTACAAGCCCCTACAGTGTAGGGGAGTAGTTGGGCAGAAAAGGGAGTTAAGTTAAATATAAATTTGATGCTTTTAAAAAGATAAATACTAATGCCTAATAACCAAAATAAAACAGAGTTAGCTTACTGAATCAGAGAAGAATGTTCATTGTCAACATTTCTATTAAGTATTGTATTGGCATTGCTAGCCAGTGCAATAAGATAAGAAAGAAAACTAAAGCAATTAGGAAGAAATAAGTACTGCCATATTTTCAACTTACATGAGTATGCACATACAAAATCCAGAAGAATCTACGAATTACTAGAGTTAAGAAATAATCTTATTGAGATTACTAAACATCGTAAGTCTACATATAAAACTTAACTGTATTTCTGTGTACAAGAAAGAAAGAAAAAATATTAAAAATATATTATTAAAATTACCAAAACCACTGAAACAAGATATTTTAAGATATTTATTTTAGTTTAAAAATTAAAATATCAAAACATAACAATATTAGTTAAAGAAGTCCTAATTAAATGGAGATACATGGTGAACATTGATTAGAGATTCAGTAGCAAGCTGTCAGTTCTGCATAAGTTTGATGGAGTCAATGCGGTCCCAATGGAAAGCTCATCAGGGTTTTGTGGAAATTGAGAAGCTGTTTCTAATATTTGTATGGAAATCTTAACTTGAAGAAGAACAAAGCTGAACTATAGTTACAACTATAAATGTACAGTAATTAAAATAGTGTCCTGTTTGACACAAGCACCAACACATAGACTAGTAGAATAGATAGCCGAGAAACAGACACACACATACACAGTTACTTAATTTACGAAAATGGACCACCCTAGTTCAATGAAGGAAAAATGGCCTTTCCTACAAATTGTGCTGTATCAAGTGGATATCTGTTTTACCAGGAATAGATAGAATGTTTAATCCTAAGACTATTAGAAAAAAATGGAAACATATCTTCATGATTTCAAAATCATAAAAAAATATTTTCATGATTTTGGGATGGGCAAAAATTTCTTAAACATGACACAAAAAGCACTAACTTTGAAAGAAAATATGAATAAATAAGATTTTCTCAAAATTAGTAAATTTTGCTCATCAACATTCAATATTAGGAGCAAGTCAAAAATTAGAAAAATATTTGTGTTACACATAGACAAGGACATATTCAGAATGTAAAAATAACATAAAAATCAGTAAGAAAAATATTGGCTAACTAATTTAAACAAAATACAAAAGATTTGAATGGGTACTTCACAAAAGAAGATATCCAAGTACACAATAAGCATAAAAAATGTGTTCAATCTTATTACATGTTGGGGAGATACAGATTAAAACCATGGGGAAATACAGTTTATATCTACAGGAATAATAAACGTTAAGAGAAGTAAAAACATTGACTTTTTATAAGCACATACAGCATCTAGGACTGCCACACATTGCTGGGAAAATAAATTTATACAATCACTTAGGAAAACTGGTAGTATCTCCTAAAACTAAATGCATGCTTCCCTCATCCCCTTAAAGTTCCAATTCTGGATAGGCAGCCAAGAGAAATTAGTGCACCATGTCTATGAAAAAAACAAGTACAGGAATGTTTGTGGATTCTCTTTCTTAATGGCCCCAAATTGGAAGCCACCTAAGTGCCTATTAACAATAGAATGGATAAACTGAGGAATATTACTATAAGGAAACCCTACATGGCAAGGAAAAGGATGAAACTTCTGCTACATATAACATGAATGAATCTCACAGACTTAATTCTGAGTAAACAAGACATACAACATGACACACAGTATGATCCCAAATATACAACGTACACCAACAGACAAAATGATGTTGGAGGTCAGAGTAGTATTTTCCTAGGAGTTAGTACTAGGAGGAGTTATAAAGGGGCTTCTAGGGAGTCAGAAATATCCCATATCTTAATCTAGAAAGTGGATATATAGGTATGTATGTGTATGAGAATATGTTAATCTGTTTGCTTGAGATTTATGTTATTTATGTTCTTTACATGGTTTAATGTCTCATTAAAAAGAAAACAGAGTTCATAGAGAAAGTTACAAAATAGAGTTTTTTAATACCTGAGACTTGCTAAAAAGCTATGGTATTAAACGGTGGTCATGTCATTAGGAAGCCTTCTACCCAAAGAGAAAGGAAGGCACAACAGAGCACAGGGGTTTGTTGTAAATGGAAAAATAAATCCATCTTATTTTTATATTGCAGCAAGCGAACACTATCAAAAATATTATAGCTTAATTAAACTAGATGATTAATGTAGTATACAAAAGAAAGTGTCTGTCTCATAGTATATATTAAAAATATAATTAGTATGACTACTACTGCTGCTACTATTACTACTTCTCTTATTGCTTTATTGGTGGTGGTGCTATTAGTGATCATTATTAGTGATTGCCCACAAAGGAGCAACAACACTGCATATGGGGAAATTGACATAATTTATCTTTCCAAGCAGAGTGTGGGCCTGTGGATTACAGTAAAAGGACAAGGGGGGCCCGAGTCATGTGACCCTTCAGACAGGGAACTCGCAGATGGCCAGAAGGGAGTAGGAACAGGGGACATCATTCCACTGGCCACTTCTCCGGAGCGCTACACAGTCTTCCCTGGAATTGGCATCATTGGGCTCACCCTCATTCCAGTTTGTGTAGGTCAGTCTTCTTCCTGTCAGATCCACGAACCGCCCTTCCATCTCCTCATCAGTGATGCCCAGGAAGGCTTCTTCTTTGACCAGACTCTGGATGGCCGTGTTCTCTGCCTGATTCATGGGGGTGGCCACAGAGGCCTGGAATTGGGCACACAGGGCCTTCACTTTGTCAAAGGTCATTGTTTCACCATTGGTCAGGAAGAGCTTCTTTCCAATTTGTTTGCCCAGAGAGAAGGTTACCCCTAAAATGTGAAAAAGTGGGTGAAACTGGCTCATCCTTAAGCCCAACTCAAGATGTTTCTCAAGAAAAAGTCTTCTAGAGTGGAGTTGCCAGATAAAATATAGTATATCCAGTTAAATTTGAATTTCAGACAAACAATTAATATTTTAGTATATCTCCCATGTAATTTTTCAGATATACTTACACTAAAAAAAATTTTTTAACCTGAAATACAATTTAACTGATGCCTTGTTTTTTTATTTGTTAAATATGGCAACCCAAATGTAAACAGAGAGACTGGTGCAAAGGCCTCTGTGCTTTTGGATTAGCATGCTAGAAGACATATTATTTGGCCTTCTGAATTCTAAATTATTAACTTGAGACCAAACAAAAAATATCTGAAAATATTTGCCCGAGACAGGTTAGGCCTCATGGCCAGATCTCAATATCAGTGCAACAATGGGGTATAAGTCCCATTTTCAGTGAGCAATATCAGAGGGTAAAGGATTAGGGTCTCTGAGTCAGACTGATTTCCATCTGTAAACCATTTATTAGCTTTGTGCATTCGAGCAAGTAATTGCACTTCCCTTTGCCTCAATTTCTACCAAAATATTATGAGAATTTTATGAGGTCAGAATATGAGAAATGCCTATCAGGGTACAGAAGATTATATGCATTGAGTAAATATTTGTTGCATTCTATTTTTCCCAAACTTCAAGCTGCCTGTGGAGTAAGAGAAAAAACTTACACTTTTTGATACGATTCATTTCTGTTTGCAGAGCTTTTCTTTCTGAGTTAACCAGGCTACAATCACAATCTAGAAAATCAGAACAAAGTAAAGAAGGATTGTTGAAAAGGAGCCTCAGAACTGTGCATATATAAGGAAGTGGAGTATCTTTTTCAAACTGAAAAAAACATTTATTTTACATTGATGTTTATACTTTGAAGGAAGATGAAAATATGAAAGGCAAAAAGAAAGAAAAATCTCTATTTCCATCCAACTCTAAACGTCACTCTTTGTATGTTTACTGTATCCCAAAGTACACATACATATCACATGCACACATATACTCTCTGATTATCTAGCAATACATAGGCCAGGTTCTTCACAGGTTTTTTTTTCCAAATAAATTGTTTTATCAAAACTAAACAGAAATCTCTTGAGGCATTACTCTATGATGAGCTGGTGAAGAGTGACTAAAAAGATCGCAGGGTTTTGTCTTTGGAGAGGTTTTAATTTTGTTGTCTTCGGTTTTGTTTTTGTTTTTCCTGAGTTTGTTCTGTTAGTCAGGAAACCAAGATTTCTGTGAGTTGCCCATTATCCAAGTGGGGAGGGCAAGGGCAAAACCACTTGTAGTAGATGGCAAAAATGGCCTCAATAGAATACAGCTCTTCTCATTAAGACATGGAGTCTGTTTCCCCTCTCCTTGAATCTGGGCTGGCCTTGTGACTTGTTTTGACCAATACCATGTGGCAGAAATGATAATGTGCTCTGAGCCTTCAGGAAGCCTACAGCCTTTGTTATTTCTACTCCTGGGAATTCTGTAGTCACTGCTATGTGAACAAGCCCTGGCTAGCCTGTTGGATGATGAGAGGTGTGGTTCAGTTACCCTCATCACTCCAGCTAACATCCAAACAACAGCTAGACACAGGAGTGAGACTATTGGCCATCAGTCGACCACACACATACACGAGTGAGCTACAGCTTAAGCCAGCAGAGAAATCACATGGCTGACCCACGGTCTTGTGATTTACATTGATGGCTGTGTTTTTAAGATATTAAGTGTTGGCTTGGTTTCTTATGAAGTAAAAGATGACATCACGTGGTTACACGCTTTTGTAAAAATAGGCATAGTAAGCCCACACTTAGATGGCCTATATTCTCCCTCTAGGACCAGGGCCTCACATTGGACTGTTTCAGGTGATGGAGAACCCAGGCTCAGCTCCTACAGGGAGTGCCTGATGAGGGAGTTGTCTTGAAAAGTTTGTGAGTCTGTACTCAGGTACTTACAGGAATTCCCCAAGGCTCTATGAACAAAGAGAGGGCTGAGGGCACTGGGTCAGAAAGCAAATTTGGGTATCTTCCTTTGAAGGAACAGGAGAAGTGACACCTCTCACCAGGCACTCAAGGTCTCAGAACCTGCGTGCACTCAGCTCAGACCTTGCTGGGGTCCTTACCTGGACTGGCTCCAGGGTCTCCTTTTTGGCCCTTGGCCCCTGGTGACCCAGAAGGCCCTGGATTTCCTGGAGGCCCCAACTTTCCAGGAGGGCCTTGCAAGCCTCTGAGCCCTTGGCCTGTTGGAAGACAAAGGAAATGTGACTTAATATCTGTGTTCTTTCTCTCTTTCTCCAAGAGTTTGATGCTCAATCCCTTCCCAGGAGAAAGGAGACCTTGACCCAGGACTGACCTTTCTGAGCCACTGCTCTAAGAACTGTATGGTACGCACCCGAGAGCAATAACTTAAGAAATAGAGTTGCCACGTGGAGGTTGCTGTGGGGAGGGAGCTAAGTGAAAATTAACTGCATCTCTTTTTACAAGTAACTGTGATTCTCCCGTCCAGCCCACTGCCACTGGATCTCCCTGTAAATAGGTCCCCCCAATAAAACCTGTGTTTGTTTGCTGGCTCCAGGTCTCTTGGGCCTCTTGAACCTGGTCCCATCCCTACTGAAGTTAGTAGGGGTCTGACATGACAATGACCCAAAGAAGAAAAATTCATCTTGTGTCCCATAGGATGGCCTGACCTGTGAGCCACTTTCCTGGGCAGACAAGACAACTATTTGTCACAAACTGCTGTGTGGAAGTCTGAGATGCCAGAGAATGGGAGCTGACTTTGTTTTGAATTATAGTATAGTTGAGAAAAAGATACTCAAATAGGACATCACTGTCCTCATATCTCCAGGCAGTTTTCTCTGGAAGGTAAAGAATTGCAGAGACAGAACAGCCCAACTTGTACCTGGCTCCCCCTTTTCTCCCTTGGTGCCATCACGCCCATCTTTTCCTGGGAAGCCGTTGATGCCTGGAGAGCTGCAGGCAATCACTGCGGGACAGGTCTTTTGGGCATCCTCAGAGGTCACAGTTTCTGAGTAAGATGCTGCCAACACACTCAGGAGAAGGAGAGGGAGTGATGGAAACAGGGACATGGTCCACACCTTGGTGTGACAAAAGTCAGAGAAGATTATCTCAGTTAATCAATACATATTTACCAAACATGCCCTCTGTCCTACAATCTGGGTGCAGGCTACACAGAAATAGATGACCCATTCCTGGCCTCTAGACGGGAATTTGGAAAAATAAACATTCCTTGTGACATTGCGTACTAGTACTTTAACAAAGGTCGGTGCTATGACAAGCAGTGGGGATCCCAAGGAGGGGTTCACCTGTGCCTAGGCCCCTGGTGTTGCTGCTGGAAGGCTATAAATATGCTTTCCGTGGCAGTGAGAATGAATGAGACTGTGCATTGCCAGCTCACTCATGCCTGATAGCTTAGGGAAAGAGAATGAGTGGAAACCCAGGTGTCTGTAGGAGCCTCCTCTTTCTCCCCACGTCCCCTTTGGGTCCATCTGCCACCTGAATCCCATCTTTGCATCTGGGCAGCTGATTCCCTCCAGGGCCTGTTAATGATCATTTACCCAGCGACAGGCCTTAAGCTGAAGCCTGGTGATCCAAAGAGGAAGGTCTCAACCTCAGATCGACCTCTTCCTTAGTCACCAACATAGCCCAGAATTAACTTGAGTTTGCTTCCCCTCGGTGTTTTAGACAGGCTTACCCGTGTAAGCATTTTCTCTGGAAATTTCTCACCACGTTTTTCTTGGCAGAGGGCTAGATCCCTCTCTACATTCCGGCAAGAATTCCCTATTTTCTGTGAGTCAAAACCACTGGCAATTAGACAACTTGCCTTGAATCATCCTCCTATTTCTCAATCTTAACCTTTCACTTGTTCTTCAGAGCTTTCTTCCAACTGTTGCCTCCTAAGAAACCTCAGCAGCGCAGCCCCATAGGTCTAAGCCTCCGAGGCTCCCTTTGAAAACAAAGACAGTCTCCATTGCAGATGAACAGGGAATGGAAGAAAGTCACAGGTGCTCCAACACAAGCAGAGAAAGAGACCTCCTCAAGCTGATTTCTGCTTTCCATCCCACTCCCCCACCCCTAGAAATCATCCTCCATGCCTCCAAGGTCATGTCAGCTCCCCAAACCCTTGATCCAGGAACCCAGATTTATTTACCAGAAATGACTTCTTGGTGTTTCTGCAGAGCAGGGACTCAATGACAAAGATGCTGGCCCTCTAGCCTGGGGATCTGACAGATGCCTCAGAGTGAGAGAGGAGGCTGGGCTAGGGTCCAATCAGCCGTGTGAACAGGGATAGCCGGGGCCTGGCTTTCCACTCTAGATTAATAAACAACTCTTCATAGGACTACAGAAATGTAGAAGCCTCTGGCACAGTGCTGGGCAGCTGTCTACTTTAATACAGCACAATTCCTCTTTCAGCTGCCACCCATTTTGGCAAATCTCATTGCTGAACTACCATAACTAGGTCACCTGGTTGGTCATGTTGCAATTCTTATTTCTAACAGGAAAACAGATACAAATGCATACATACGCTCATGCACGCCAACTGTACATACAGACACCTGCATATGCACATACACTCGAAAGCACAGTAGCTCTTAGTTGTACATTGCAACTCGAGTAGGGTATTGATCTTTTTTATCATCTCGATTTGTCTCCAACCTGTACCTGCTACACTCTATTGGGCCCGTCTCTTAGATCTGCCTTCCTTTTGGCCTGTCACCTGGGCAGACACCCCCTTCCCAGTCGCTAATAACATAACTGATTGGCTGGGAGGGATAGATTTACCCCCAGTGGAGTCCCTCATTAATGGCACACATTGGACTAAGGTACCAGGTAACACTACATATCATTCCACTATCCTCCCACTGGGTGTAAGTTATATAACTTCTAACCCTTATGGTGTACCTGCCCAAACATAATTATGGCTACATCATGGCAAAGGAAATGCCTTAACAGTCCTAGTTGCAGGTAGCCTCAAATTTGGAAATGCAATAAATGCCACTTTCCCAAACATTTCTTCCTGTGCTAAAGAACAAAGCCGAGAAAGTAATGCATTCCACTTTAGTTTGGAGGTCCATCATAGGCAATAGGCCCATAGCCTCCAGTTAACTATAATATCTTAGACTGAAGCCTCCACAGCCATTTGCAGGGCGATCGTACTGATATCTGTGTCTACTGTGGCATCAATGACAGTTTCATAGCCATGTCCCAATCCCCTATAATTTGGGCCAATGGGAGATGGGATATCCCAGACCCCAAGTAGAACCCATGCCACCCCAAGACACTCTATGGCTCCTGGGACATCTTAGCACACCCTTTAACAGCTGGCATGGGACATACCATAGTTCCAGTCACAATTATACTATGATCTTTTTTCACAGGATATGTACATTGACCCAGCAATTGCTGAAGTCAAAGAAAAAGGGCACACAGGGTGGGCTCTAAAGTAGACATAATTAGGGCTATCTCAAGGTTCTGCAATAAATAAACAGAGTAAGCAGAGTCACTAACAATATTGATGGGCTGAGCAGAAAATGACTCCATGGCCAGTATCAGAAATCCAACCTCAGCTCTCTGAGGTCTAGTCAATCCAGATCAAATGAGGAAATTTTGTGGTTCCCACCAGACTGTCGCTTCTCCATTCTTACCAGAACCATCAGTAAACAGCATTAAAGCATTAAGTATGGGGTAGTAAACTACTTTTGTAGGCATAATTAAAGGAGTATGAGATAAGAACTGAAGCAGTTTGTCAGCAGGAAGGAGGTGTTCTAAATGGTCTTTATAATCAGAGAGTGCTATGTGAAGATCTAAAGAGAGGGGCAATACTGCTTCAAATTGCTTTTTGCTCAAAGGAATTCTTATGGTATCAGAGTCATAACCTAGCAACTGATTGCATCGTCTGCCCATGCAGATGACTCTACTAACTAGCTGAATATGGGGAGATAGTGTTTTACTCCCAGTATGTGAGCAAAAAACCCACTCTAGAAAGTGCAGTGCTAGGGCCATTTGTCCTATTAATCCTATTGGGGAATGGCTAGTGGGAAAGACAAACAACTGAATTGAATATCCTGGGTATATGTGATCTAGCTGCCTTTGAGAGATAGCTAGCTCTATTTTCTCAATTTCCCTTTTTGCTGCAGGGGTTAAATACCTGGGAGAATCCAGGGAGCACTGCCTTTTAAGATAGAAAACAGATTTTGCAACTTATCAGTTGCTATGCCCAAGGTGGGGCAAAGCCAGTTGATATCCCCCAGTAATTTTTGATAAGCATTTAGGATATCTAAATTGCTAGTATTTAATTTAACCTTTTGAGGTCTTACTGGGTTAGTAAGTATGTACCCAAGATATTACCAAGGAGAGGACTTTTGTACTTTTTCAGGTGCTATGATTAAACCTCTTAACTGTGTGTTCCTTTGGACAGAGGCATATAAACTTAAACTTACTGGCTCCTTTGGGGCTGCCAGTAAAATATCATCTATAAAATGAATAATTTTGCAATTAGGAAATTCTTTCATACTGGAGAGCCAAGCTTGATACTGACACATGGTGGGACTGTTAAGCATTCCTTGAGGAAGCACTTTCCAGTGAAATTGGCAAGCCGAACTTTCATTATTGATAGCTGGCAATGTAAACACAAATTTTTCTCTGTCCTGTTCTGTAAACAGAAAGGTCTAAAAGCAGTCTTTTAAGTCAATAATGATAATAGGCTAATCTTGAGGAATCACCACGGGGCAGGGGAGCCCCTGCTGGAGAGGCTCATAGGTTTTAAGTCAGCATTAATAGCCCACAAGTTATACATAAGTCTCTATTTGCCAGACTTTTTGGAAATGATGAAAATGAGCAAATTCCAAGGGCTGTTTGATGGTTCTATACGGCCAGCTTTTAACTGCTCCTCAACTAATTCATGGGCTGTCTGTAATTTCTCTCCTTTCAAAGGCTACTCTTCTACCCAGACAGGATTTTGAGAGAGCCACATCAGGGATAAGGGAGAAAAAACAGTGGCAATTATTAGCCATTATTATGCCTTCCAGAGGAGGTACTGACTGGTGTTTAAAGTTGTCTTAGCTAGCACCGACCAGTCCCATGGTGTTACATCAAAGTTTTTTGCTATGGCTTCAATTAATCCTTTCATAAATAGGCTACTGGCTCCATTTTCTCTAATCTCTTTGTAAGCATATACCTGATTGCCTTGTTGATCTCACATTTCCAGGCTGGCCAACAGCTCCCCTTCTAATGCCACTTGCCTAAGACAGGCTCCCATAGCTGTAGCATATCCCCTGTCCTTTCTCCAGTTTATTGGCAGAGGGGCCTCATGTAAAATCTCCGTTTCCTCGTTGGTATTTTTACCTGGTAATTTCTGGGCTGAGGGAGATAGTAAGGTTGGTGACGTTTCCTCTTGCCTTTCCCTTCCAGGCTCTTCTGCATAGAGCTGGACCGTAGCAGCCTTAACTAAGGTCCATAACATTAGAGATGTTACTGGGACCTGTTGCCCTTGTGCATGATGTTGTTTAAAAGTTCTTCCCACTTGTCCCAGAGCTCTATGCTTAGTGTGCCTTCTGCTGGGAACCATGGGCTTTGGGAAACAACAGTTTGCATTAGGTGCTTTAATCGAGCATGCAAACTGAGGCTCCACTAGCTTTAAGCAGCTGTTTGATTACTTTTATCTGTTGAGCTGATAACTGTTGCCACATGATGAAACCCTAGCCTGAATGATTCCCTTGAACTTGAAAATCGAGAGCAGGCACCAATGACTTACTTATTGACTTACTGACTTATTGATTTATTGACTTACCGACTGTGCAGTCTTTTCACCTTCGTTTTCAAGGGTTCCGTCACAATCTGCGATCCATTGCAGTGCTCCTCACACAGGGCACGAACTGCTGGTTCCAACAAGTAGACTCTGATGGAGCGACAGATGAAAAACATGCACTGACACAGGCTTTCCTGTCAGCCCAGCCTGGGGTCCTCTGTCAGAGTCAGCAGTGATCTTGATAAGCCTGTGACCTTCACATTTATTTAGTATGGATTAAATGACAAAGGTCTCAAGTAAACACCATTAGAGGGTAATTAACATTGCCAACCCCCTGAGTAGAGAGCTGTCTTGTGCCTGGGGAAGATCAAAGATGGGTCTTAGACCACAAGAGTAAACAAGCTATTTAGATGAACTCCTCTGCATTCCTTTGTTTCTGCTCCTAGCTATTAGCTCAAGGTAATAGCAGAACCTTTCCCAAGCTTTTGCAAAACTTCTGGCTTTCCAGGAAGGTTTGCGTTTCCTACAATTTCTCCAACCACCCTGACTGACCTCCTAAAGGAGCCCATCATGGAAAGTTCAGAGGCTGCAGAGCCATGTAGTGGGGGATACTATGGAGGTCTCCAAATCCCAAAAGGAATGTGAGTAAGACATACTTCCAGGTCCCTTCCAACTGAAGTCTTCTTGGCTTGTGAAGGGACTGGCTTCCTTACTTCCTGCTGACCCATCAACTGTGCCTGGAAAAATGTCCAGGATGGTCAGAGCCACATGCCTAAGGCCAACAGTGGATATCAGGAGATCCAGGGCCTAAAGAAGACAGCAGACCACATGTTTCTTCTCTTACTTTTTAGCAGCCAGAGCTTCCCCCTGCTCCTGCTCCAGTGGCAGAAGGTGGGGTGCGGTAGTTGACACCAGGTCACTGGAGATGCTGGCTTTAATTACAGTGCTTGCTTTCATTGTGTACCTAGTCCAGAGGTCAGGAAACTGCCTGAAATTTCCTCGAACTGGGTTCAGAGCGGGTAGGTATCTGGAGGAAAGTCAATCTAGCAGTTGAGACACATATTGGAGTGCTGCCCAGTTACATCTATTCTCCAGAGTCTCCAGTAGGCCTTTCCCAATAGGAGAGGCCCCTGTCCACACACAGCAGCCTTAATGTCTCTCTCCACCTGGATGCCCACTCTGCACTCCACCCCACATATAAGACCACTGTGTGCATTTGTCCTGCACTTAAAAACCCTTCCCAACACTGCTTCCACTCTGGCAGTGCCATAAGAAATCCACCTCACTCCAAGAGGCTGCAGAGACAACTGCCTCTCTGACCTGCAGGAGGACTGCCTGGTGTCCTATATTCCCTTTTTTGTAGACTAGGGTGAAATCTCAGCTCTCCCACTTCCCAACATTGGGACCGCAGTCGAGTTTCACTGCCTTCATGTCCTCAGTTTCCTCTTCTATGAAAGAGGGCACCGCTGTCTTGGCTGTGGAGTGGTGTGTCCTTAACTGGCCCACACTCAGAGTACATGGC